CCATCGAAAGTGAACAAGGGTCTACTTTTGAAGTACAAAAAAAAAAGGGTTTGATTCTCTAAATTAGATTACATGTTATGGCAATAAAGGCCGTGCATCGTAATGCGTGTGGGTTATATAGCTAAATAGACATTTTTATAGAGCTCCTTACTGTCCCTGTAGATTAAATGAGAGTTTGACAGACATTCTATGGATTGTGCTATAGGAAAAGACAGTTTACAACGCTTACTAGCAGACATACCTATCAAAATGCTTTGCATTTCCAGAGTTGAAATGTGGCACTGATTACACAATGTCAAGGAGTTCAAGTTGCAAAGCTTTTGTTGTTTTAATACCAACCAGTAAATGTCCAGAAGATCATCACTTTATTGGCATTAGAAATTTACCATATGACACTTGAAAAATATTGTTGAAATGTTGACTCGTGAAACATATACATGTCAGTGAAGGCATGCCTGTATCACGATAAGGTAATGACAAGACTTCAGCAATTCTCAGAATTTTCCAGCCCAATTAAGCCAACAAGCGAAGCAGTGCAAAACACTGAAACAGAGATGAAAGAGTCATCTTTTGGAGAGCTTTCTTCAGTTTCCCCACTTTCACACAGCTACAAAAGTGGCTCACTGACAGTGGTAGTCTCTATCAGATCTTAATTGTAAAAGAGATACCTTTCAAATATATTGCAGCAATGTCTCGTAGTAAACTAGCTCAAGACTTCCGAATCAGTGCCCATGCTTCAGTAGATGCAAAGCAGCAGGAGCCCAACCAGACTTTCCCCTGTCTGTGTCAATGGTGGGAAAGTTATAGTGTGGTGCAAGGAGTAAAAGCTCGTCTCTATCTCAACACCTGTACATAGTACAATCCCTCCACTGCACAAGGAGGCCTTACAGTTCAGAAACATTTTTATCAGTATTGCTCATCAAAATACCAATGTTTTGCTGTCTGTGCATTTCTCTTGCATTAAATAGTGGTACCATTTTTACAGCCCTATATTGAGTGACGGCAGATCTATTTCCTTAACGAACAAGTGCTGTCTCAGCTTCTCTGGATCAACAGAGCTAATAACAAACAACAACATTCACAGCGGTGCACTCCTCTCAGTACTTTCGGTGAAACGAGTTTGTCTCTTAGATTACATTATTGAGAAAGGTTTGCATCCCAAAATGGCACATTCACGCATTATGATGAAAAGCCAACTTGTAGTGATGTGAAGCCTGTGTTGGCAGATTTAGTACATCAGCCATCTGAAATCACTTGCAGAACTCCATGTCGATTTGTCTGAGCATGGACTTGAGATAAGTGATGGTTGTGTGACTCATATTGTATGCATCAACTTCTTTATCTCATTTTTGAAGCTTTGTTACAATTGGTAAAATCATGTCCAGTACATTTCAGAGGATCAATTATGAACGCCTTGATGATCTGTGTGACGTTTCCAGCCTGTTAGATAAGCACCAAGCTTGGGAAACTGAGCTCGAGCTGAACATCTCGAGGTCCGTGTAAAAACCATGTGCCTTTGGTGCTGCTATTGTGTTTGAAAGTGAATGAAAGGTTTCCAGAGCAGTATGTCATTCCAAAAGTCAAGTTTTGCGGAGCCCCTTAGCAATTGTTTGTTGCTTAAAAGTTGACATCTGCAGAGACACTTAATTTAAGTCAATGAGAGTGGTGTAACTGTGTTTTAAGAGCACAAAGAACACAGAACAAACGCTTTGTGTTTCTCGGTGTGCTTAACCCACAGTTACACCATGCATATCCAACTAGCCCAATTTTCAGTTCTGTTGCAATGAGTGTGGCGGCATGCACAGTATCAAAAAGAATTTTCCTCAAAGGCACTCTTGTATGCTGATGACATAAGTGGTTTTCCATTATACGAGTGTCTATGAACCGAATGTGACATCCAGTTGATGCTCAAAATTATGACTTCTAAGAATTTGTGATGCAACTTTTTCTTGCACCGGCTATCTTGTTATGTTCATCACATCGTTTTTGGGTACTTCCTCGAGATGCTGCTCCAGAAAAAGATTGTGCCTGTCAAGACAAGTCAAAATCACTAGGATGTTGTCCTTAATTGTCTGCAGAATCGCTTGACAAACTGTCCTAGTGACCTCGAAGAGCAAGCGTATGCCCAGTAAAGAAGCACTGTTACTTAATACTCTTTAGGACGTGCAAGTTCTTTCAAAGAGCAGTTGGTTTGATTGTGAAGTAATAGTGTAAATTGTTTCAGCTGGGCACTGATCGGACGATATTTTCTAGCATCATTGCATCTCCATAGTTTACGCAGAGCTGATGAGAACAAAGGTTTCCTTTTTTCCCGCACAACTTGAACAGGTTCATGAAAGAAGTAGTGACAAAGATGTCTGCATAATAAGAGGGGTGCTGCACCTTTGGGAAAAATAGGATGCAGGCCTTAAATAATCCAACACTTAAGTGTTTGCTGCAAACTAGCCTCTTCAAAAGCTGACTCGTTTTTCGGAGACATTCTTTTCGTCACCACTTGCGCAAGAATTGTCCCTGCTTCGGCAGAGCCAACAGATTTTTCAAAGTGCCAAGTATTTATCATCAGACTGTACCTTCAGATCGATAGTCCTGTCAGCAACATATGCAATGTCTCAGCCTGCTTCAGACCATTGGCATTCATGACAAGGTCCCTCCATTCCACCGGAGTTCTGGCACTAGCTGAACATTGATCGATATATTGTCCGCACTGCTATTCAGGTATATGAGTAATGTCCATGTGTGCTGTAAACAAACAGTAATAATTGTTGGGTTTTAATGTTCCAAAACCACAATATGATTATTTGAAAGGCCGTAGTCGAGGGCTCTGTTAAAGAACCACCTAGGGTTCTTTAACGTGTACTTAAATGTAAGTACACGGGCCTCAAGCATTTTTACCTCTATCAAAAATGCGGCTGCTGCAGCCACGACTCAATCCCGCGACCTGCGGGTTAGCAGTCAAGTACCATAACCAGTAGACCATTGTGGTGAGTTTGTAAACCAACAGTGAACATTGCAAATATGTAAGTCATAATAGAACTCTGGCGTCGGAAAGTACACAAATCTCTATAGCACTACTAGACCATGAGCCCACCACTGTTTACACTGCCTCATTGCTCTGGATCATGCCCCGCCGCGGTGGTCTAGTGGCTAAGGTACTCGGCTGCTGACCCGCAGGTCGCGGGTTCAAATCCCGGCTGCGGCGGCTGCATTTCCGATGGAGGCGGAAATGTTGTAGGCCCGTGTACTCAGATTTGGGTGCACGTTAAAGAACCCCAGGTGGTCGAAATTTCCGGAGCCCTCCACTACGGCGTCTCTCATAATCATATGGTGGTTTTGGGACGTTAAACCCCACATATCAATCAAATCATTTGCTCTGGATCACGAGCTGCCGTCAGGGCATTCAATCAGGTTATCTCAAAAATGCCATGAGGGTCCTTAATGCAGGCCCTTACAGGATGAAATTCATCAAATTCTCTAGTACTCTGCTGACTAGCGTCTGGACGTAATGCCGATTGAACTGAACCCCAATGAGATTGCTCATATTTGTGCTGCGGCAGTGTGGGGCCCGGTAATGGTTTGAAAACAGCCAGAGATTAGCGATCCACTAGTTTACTTACATGAGATTGCCTTGCACTACAGGGAGGCTAGCTGGGTGTTCTATCTCTTCACGATGAACTAAGCAGACCACTATACAATTAAATTCGAAATGCTGCAAACAGGTTGATATTTTTGAAGGAGCTTCCCGAGTATGATACATATGGAGATGCACTCAACATGGCCACATTGCTGCTCATTAAAACACATGTCCTGGCAATGCCTTGCATTGCAGGTCTGCAGTCATGGAGACTGGTGGACTACCGCAATCAACGACACCAGCTATTACAACTAGATCCTGGCTGTTCTGAAGGCCCGGACATGGCAGAGCGGCTCGGCATTCCCATTCTCACATGGAATCAGCCGGATTTTAGATGTATAAACGCCTCGTACTGTTCGCTCTGGACCGAATAAATATCTTCTCTCTCACACTGTTTTTTTAAAGACACGCAGACGAGAATATACTACAGCCATGTTGTCTGCGTCTTCAACCAACCACGGCTGTGACCAAAGCATCAATGTACAGTCGTCAGCAAGCTTATCACGAACGCCCAGACCTGTGACCTGGACTACTTTGACTAATGCCAGCCGCGAAGAGCTGTTGCCGAGGTATTACCGAGGTATGCTTGGATAGTATTTCGGCATTAATTGGTAAATTCTCGGCAACAGAACCCAAAGCTACGCGGCGCAAGCGTCAAACTGTTTCAGAACACGCGGAGAAGCGTTCGTGTTAAACTTGCTGACGACTGTATACAGTCCAAATCACACTTGTCTAGGACAATCAGTCGGCCGCTTAACTCTTTCAGGACCGCGCCCATAGGCCGTCGATCACATGTGATCGATGGTTTCGCGCGCCTCCAGAATAAAAATTTTTGCTCAATGGAACAGCTGCCGCCATCTGTGAGATAGTTTGACAACTATAATTTTTTATTTTGTGAAGTTTGTTTTTTTATCGCCAGGCGGCGACGCGTCAGATATTTTGTTTTTTGACAGCGCTTACCTCAAGTGAGGATTCAGGGGATGATCAGCCGGGAACTTCAAGCGGGGCTGGAAGGTGAGTGTTGGTTTCTCTTTCAGTTGGCTCTCGAGTAGCTATGTGAACTCGGTATATGTTCTCGCTGATTTATATCTGTTCGCTAGGGTGTCAACCACCTATGGTGGTGATCTCCTGCCACCAGTGCAGAAGCGGATTGAGTTTTCGCCAAGAAGACATCGCCCGGTGTCTACTGTAGACACCGGGCGTAGACTACTGTAGACATCGCCCGGTAATCTGTAGACACCGGGCGACGTCATCGCCCGGTGTCTATCTGGGCGATGACGTCGCCATGGCCCTGAGAAGCGGGACGAAGTTTTTGACTGCCCTGGATTTCTTTCTTCTGTTTTTTTTTTCTTCTGCGGAAGTTGTTGCAATGATTTGCGAAAACACAAACAAGTATGTGTGGACCCGCATTCTTGAAAAACCGACGCACTCTCGGCCAGATGGTTCGTGGGAGGAAGTCACCCCCAGTGAACTGCTGAAGTTCATTGGGCTGGTGATTTACATGGGGATTGTGAAGGTTCCAAGACTTAAACTTTACTGGAACGTAGGAAGTTTTTATAGTGGTCTCCTTGCACGACGCATCATGCCCCGAAAGCGATTTATCGCTTTGCTAGCGCTCCTCCAAATTGCGGACTTGGATGATCCAAACCAACAGTCAAAAGGAACGCTGCGATACATGTGGTGGCTTCTTGAGCACATCAACCAAGTGTCAGCACAGCTCTTCCAGCCCAATCGAGATCTCTCCGTGGACGAGCGCATGGTAAAATCAAAAGGGAGGTCTGGAACTCGTCAATACCTGAAAGATAAGGTGACTAAATGGGGATACAAGCTGTGGGTGCTAGCTGACCCTGACACAGGATAGATACACTGTGCAGTTCAGTGTCTACACTGGCCGCCGTGTGCAGCCGGGGCCTCATGGCTTGCTTTTGGTGTAGTGTGCGATCTGTGTTCCTCATACTTTGATCAGGGATACACAATTTTTATGGACAATTTTTACACTTCGACGCACCTCTTTGATTACCTCCTTGACCATAAAACATTGGCTTGTGGAACAACGCGCAGATCGCCGAGGATTTCCCAAAGAACTGAAGGAGCCACGTTGGGGAAAAAAAAGCCAAACGTGGGGACATTCGATGGATGCGAGATGGCAACATCCTTTACTTTCAGTGGAAAGATCGGCGCGTTGTAAATATGATCAGCACCATCCACACTGCCAACAAGAAAGGTGTTCCAAAACACGAGTGCGGAGTGGTAACACCTGGACTGAAGTATCAGTGCCCAAGCCATTGCTGATTGACGAATACAACTATGGAATGCTGGGAGTAGATAAGTCGGATCAAATGATTGGTTACTACAACGTCTTGATGCGAAGTGTGCGGTGGTGGAAGACGTTATTTTTTTATTGCATCGACATTGCCTGCGTGAACAGTTTTGTGCTTTTTCAAGCACATCGTGCATCACACCCGGAGATCCCTGAGCTCAGTCGAAAAGCCAGGTATGATCATCTGGCCTTCAGAGAAGAGCTTCTTGAGCAGATTTTTGGCTTTGATGGCAAACAAGCTCGATCTCCTCCACCACCCACTTCAAACATGCGGACCACAAAAAGTCCAAAAACGTAAGAACTGCAAGTTGGGCTACGAACGCACCAAAGTCGAGCTCAAAACAAACGTTTTTTGTGACACGTGCCAAGTTCACCTGTGTTTCACCTCAGTCCGGAACTGCTTCGGCGAGTGGCACACGCGTCGTGCAACGCCAACCTAGGCACGTGTGCAAGTGCTGGTACCTAGTGCCAAAGGGTTCACACACACACACACACAAAACCGTTACTCCTAGCCACACCAAACTTTTACGATCAAGAAAGAAAGCATTTTGCCACATTTTGTATATTCTCAAATAATTTTAATTTTGTTGAAAATTTCTGTGTTTAAACTTTTTAAAACTTTTTTGTGTTTTTTTTCTCTAAGTTCTTACTTTCAGATTTTTTCATTTATTGTGTGCAATGCTTAGGTAAAACATTTGTTTTGTATGTTAAAAACCATTCAATAACCTGCATTTTGGTGTATGATAAAGTAGTGTAGTACTTTTGTTTCATATAATAAAAAATGTTTACCCACACCTCTCTTTTTCATCCTTTTCTCGGGCGGTCCCGAAAGAGTTAAGCCACAATTGTGTAAACACCGACGTCGTTATTATATAAGAAATAATCGTACGCCAAGCTAGGACGTTGTGCAAAATATCAAGCATAAGAGGAAGCTTCATGCGAGGTGACAGCCGCGGTCGGTGCCAACGTCCTCAGCCGCGAACAGCAGGTCGTCGCTTTCTGTTAGCCATTCACTCAAACTAATCGCTACCTTTCTAAACGAACGCGTTAATGCAGTCGAGCATACATTGAGAGTACAAATAGTTCGCAGAGTTAGCGAGAATCAAGTCCTTGAGAAAATCAACTTTAAATGCATCCATGTCGGACGAGGTTTATCAAATCACGTGGTTGTACTTACTAGCTCAGTTGTCATGTTATACTCGTTGGCGCGTCGAAGATCCATTATGTTGTGACATTTTGACGATAACGTGATGTCACAGCAAGTGCACAAAGCATCGAAACGCGTCTTAGAACTTTCGTTGGGCATATATCAGCAACAGACGGTTTCGCTACTTTAGGTTCGCCTGACTATTGTTATAGCGCGAGAACAAAACGACGACACAGACAAGAAGGACACGAAGGACTCGTGTCCTTTGTGTCCTTCTTGTCTTTGTGTCGTCGTTTTGTTCTCGCGCTATAACTATTGTCATGCCACTTCCACACTTCTAGGTTCGCGCGCTCTTCACTCTTCGTCATTGAAGGTATGGATAGATAAGGCTTTCACCGGACAGTATTTCACGCTACCTAGTGCCCTTTTTATGAGTGCCAAAGAAACAAGTTTGCGAGAAACCAAAAACCTTTGTTTAATTTTTCAAAATAAAATTTAAATTTTGTTAGACATAAAAAAGCAAATTACAAGCTTAATAAAATAAGTGCTACAAGTTAGCGCTACCTATGAGAGTTGTGGGCACGCAGTACTTATTACTTTAGCGCAGTCCTAATAGAGAGCGCTATGCTTTCAGCGCAAAAATCCACCGTGGCAAAAATGATCGTTTTTTTTTTTTTTTAATAATGACACACTACTGATTCTGCCAAGCGGTGCGCACCAAAGAATGGTGCCTTTATGAGCATTGCTGCGTAAGTATTTAAATAAGAAGGGGCTCGGTGAGGTTGCTAGGAGTTTTAGCTGGACCGACACTTTTCTGTTACTCGCCATAACTTCTATTTCCACATACGTAGTTGCCATGTAAACTGCATTTACAACCTGACAGGTACTGTTTTGACGGAGCACGTTAAAAATTGACAGGATGGCCCGGACGCCCGGACCTAACCCTATGAAAATTCGATGCAAGCTGACACGCGATATTGATCGCACTATATGATGCAAAATCGTTCTGACTGGAGTGAAAGTTTCTCAATTGTGCAAAATTTGTAAACAGCTGTCATTTTTGTCCAACCTCCTAACCACTTGAAATATGGGTGTTCAAAAACAATCGTATCTAGTCCCATTGCCACCACTGTTTTGCATAATTAAAGAAACGAATTAGCCGAGGAATGCATACGGGGCATTATTTGTTTTTTTTTAAACCAGAGTACAATAATTGTCTCTTAAATTGAAAATAATTAAAGTGGACGAAAAATAGCAGCGATTTTCTATACACTTTAATTGCTTCAAACATATAACAAAACTTCACTTGGAAATATTTCCAGAGGTTCTGCAGGATTCTGCTATCACTCATGGCAGGGGAAGCGGATGGTGGCTGTCGTACCGCTTGCCTGAGAACCTACTAAATTTAGAAACATAAGGAAATTGAGAGTGCTTCCTTGGCGTTACCTTAGACCACCAACTCAGATGGAGTCTGCATGTTGCTGATCTAGCAAATCAAGTGAACTCTATCATAAGTGTTATTCGGCGCATAGCGAGAACAAAATGGGGCGGTAAACATGCATTTATACTCTACGTCCATTGTGCAGTCATCTTACTGAAGATTGCCTACTCCACGCCAGTTCTCCACAACATCTCTCGGACATCTCTACGCCGACTTCAGCTGTTACAAGCACGAAGCTTACGCATATGTCTGGGGGTTTCACATACAACATCAGGTTCTCTGACATGGGCAGAGGCACGAGAACCCGACTTTATAACAATTCGAAATGGGGAGACCTGTCGGCACCTCTTCCACCTAGACACGCAATACCCTTCACATCCACTCATATCAAATATTGAGAACTGCGCCGTAGTGCAGATATACAATGTGTACCAACACTACATTTCACGACTTCCTGTGTCAGCACATTGGCCAATAGATCTAAATTACCCGCCATAGCTGCTTGAACTTCCAACTATAGAAACTTCAATAGAAGGACTTTGCAGCAAGCATGAAGTGCCAATCATTGCCGCGCAGCAGTTGAAATCACATCACGTGTACACCAACGACCCCATCGCCAAAAAGACTGCGACATCAGCATTTATCATTCCGGAGCTACGTGAAGAATATGCATCTCTCCTCTTCAACAACACCAGAGCTTATAGGAATTTTGTTAGCCATAAGCTTCATTATATCAACGATGCCAAGAAAGTGGGTTATACTTACAGACTTTTTGGCGGCATCTACATGTGTGGAAATTGCCACTTTCAAGACATATTGATGTGCATACAGTATACGTGATATTAAAAGAGCTTTCAGAAGCTACGAAGTCGAATCATGGAGTGGCATATCCTTAGGTCCCCAGTCACTGCAGAATCAAGGGAAATGAAATGGTAGCCGAGTTGGCGAAAACTGCTCATCATACGCAAACTTGCCTCATTCCATGATTGATATTTGGAATTTAACGTCCCCAAACCACCGAATGATTATGAGAGATGCCATAGTGGAGGGCTCCAGAAATTTTGGCCACCTGGGGTTTTTTAACATGCACCCAAATCTGAGCTCATGGGTCTACAAAATTTCTGCCATTATCGGAAATTCAGCCGCCGCACCCTGCTGCTGACCTGCGACCTGCGGGTCAGCAGCAGAGTACCTTAGCCACTAAAGCACCACACTGGAGCACCTCATTCCTGTATCTCAGTGTTAAGTAAACAGAATTTTAAGAACAGTGAATTGTGAACTCTGCTTGTCTACCTGGTTCACAAACAAAACAAAGGAATCGATCCTATATGCTGTTGATCCTAATCTTGAGGGCCAATTAGACCCTCATCTCCCAAGGTGTATTGACACTCTCGTACATCGCCCGAAACTCGGAACTGCTTACACAAAGCACTTTCTACTTCGGATTCAGCATGCAACATTGTCAGCATATTTGTGCGGCTACAACGATATCTAACGCATATTGATCGACTTTCCGAAACACGACACACACACCAACGGTGACTCGAACAGGAATTCCATACCCTACATTCGCAGGGAACATTTACATTGAAAAAAATACTAGGCCCGTAATCATCTAAAACAAATCACAAAGCAATGAAGGTGCTGCAGCGTTTTGTTTTTCCTTAAAGACAAGGACTTGTGATTACTACTGAACAGACTATGTTGGAAGTGAGCGTAGCTGCTACGTGTTTGTCCTGCCCAAATGCAAACTTTTGGACTCACCTATATGGCACTGTACATATGTATATATGGTATTTTGTTTTTAATTCTTTATTTGTAAATCAAGTGGAAATGGGTTGCCGTCGCCAAGTCACGGTGACAACTTCTTCGTTTATTTTTTATTTCAATTAAAAAAACGAAACTGCTGATCGCAGACAGCAAGCGTTCTACATTTAAACAGACAAAGCTTGTAATCATTTAGCAAAGAAACCTGTAAGATGAAATTGAAGGCACAATAACATAATATTTCTTTGACCTTTTATTTTCAGAGTTCCCATCCTGGAAGGATAAAATGGAAAGAGAAACTTGCAGCCATTTTGTTGCCTCCACAGGAAAGAAAGAAAATTCACCCGGCGTCTTTAAGCACTACCTTCGATGTCATCGTTCAGGGATTTATGCAGAAGTTCCAACAGAAAAGCGTCAACGGCAAAAGAAACAGCATAGCAGCTGCAAGATAGACAAGCATTGTTTTGCAACACTTGATGTCACAGAAAAGGCAACAAAGTCTTCGCAGAATTTCAGAGGCAGCACTACGGCCATTTGATGGAGGTCTCACACCAGAGGCTCTCCGTTGCTGAAACTACAGTGCTTGCAGGTAATGCACCATTTTTCTTCACGATTTGGGGTGGCCTGGAGGGTGAGGTGGGGAGGTGGCTTGAGCATTTCACTGCATATTATGAAGCATGATCAAAAACACACTGAAAGCAAGCAGTGCCTAAACCTGAGTGGAAGACAATGAGAGTTGAGGAAGTAAACACTAGAAAAATTCAGTAGCACAATGCTTCTAGCTGCATTACTGTAATCACTGCTAATAAAAAGGCTATAGCCTCTGAATAAACAAAACATTGACTGATCTGAAATTTTTTAAATAGCATAAATGAAGCAGTTGGGGGAAAACAGTACCTGATATACCGGAAATGCTTTGAAAAGCCTTTGGTGACAAAAGTAGAAGCTAAAAAGTGTGTTTGGAGAGGTGCAGTCATTTCAAAGTGCAAACAACAGTGCTAGATTAACCCTTTGTGAGGCTCTACCTTCAAGTCAAGTTTTTTCTTAAAATCTGCAGAACCACATCTAGAATGACTTAAGAAAATGTTTTGCATTATTCTCAAGAAACTCAGCAGAATAGATCCTGAGAAAGAAGTGGTACATACCACTATCTTTAAAGCCGGGCATGAAAAGTGGTACGCATCTGTATTGCTGTTTTCGGGCAGAGTCAAAATAAAAAATTAATGGCCACGAAAATTATTTTTTAATTCAAGGAGGCTGTTTACTTTTAGATTGTTTCAAGCATTCAATGCAAAGGTGAACTTGGTATTTACCACACAGCTAGCTGCTGTGCAATTATGCCTAGCCCACGTGAAGGGGACCTGCGACAGTTATACATTGGCTAAGGTGACCTCGTAATGGGAGTAATTAGCTATACCTAAAGCAGACAGCAATTAATGCTGCTTTTGGAATTGGAGTGTGTGCTACAATAAAAATCACTACACATACACAATTGATGTGTGTGTAGTCAGTCCTGAAAATTGTTGCAACCAGTCAAATAGAAGCTGGTATACACTTTTAGAGGAGAGTGACAAGCCGGTTGCACTCAGTTAACATAGGTGGGACACTAATGGCTCAACTAAGTGCAGGAATTGGGAGAGTGCCCAATTCCTGCACTTAGTTGAGCCATTAGTGTCCCACCTATGATTTTGCAGAGCCTCGTGGCTGTAGTGGGAACCACTACAGCCACGAGGCTCTGCAAAAAAAAAGATGGTATGCACACACTCAGTGTTTCCAATCAAGACACCATGGCACAGAGTCATAGGGTTCGTCGATTGGTTAGTAGCAAGCATTTGATTTGGCCCACAGAGAATCATGACATCGGAAAATAGCATCAATGGACTATTGAAAGTATTCGAAGAGTACCAATGTGTCAGAAGGTAAAGGACATGAGAGGGCACAGAGACTCTCCAGGGCTATCTCATTGTTTTCACTGACAAGGCATATGCTTCAAATTCAGCCAAGCACTATTTATAGAAAAAATTGCGTTGCACCTCCTAAAATTAGTAGAAATGTCTTCGAGATCAAAAGTAGAACCATATTAACACAGTCCAAGTACCATCTAGTCTGCACCACGTACCATTGTGGAAGTAGTGAAATTTTAAAGTACGCCACAAGTGATGCGCTCCTAGATGATGAGATAGCAGCTCCTCCATTGACTATCAGTGGTTAAGTACCAATGACTATTTGAACAAGGATAGCGTAGCACATTGTGCATGGTGGTGAAATTTACTGGTAAGGTCTCATTTTTTGCTTATGTTCACCTTACTTTCTCACTTATCATTGCACTGTTTTCAATGATCTTGATTGTTGAAGCTGCTGAAAATTTGTCTATTGATTTAGCCAAAGTCGTCTCTTAGTTTCTCTTTAAAAATAAATTCCATGTAACTTTACAGTTGCCTTTGCAGAAGGCACAAAGCTAGTCCAGAGGTTTTGACTTCATTTTTTTATATTTATTCATTTTTTGAATATTTTACAATATTAGAAACCTCTTTGGCTGGCCTCCCTCAAATGTTTTAAATGGCCCTGCATATGGTCAAAAGCTTGTCTTGACCTTGCATGATCTATGATTGCATGATCTATGATAGCTCAATGAAAATGTTTGTATGAACTGTATGCCTATCATGGAGGATAAGAAAAAGGAACTAGGACTGAGTGTCATGTGACAATCTGTGAAGTCCAGCAAAAAGAAAGAAATGGTGTCATGTTGGGAATACTGCCATGAGCACAAGGAGCAAGCTGCTTTAGCGGAACTTGGCTTGTGGGCACTATGCACTCTCTCTTCGCAGTTTTTGTTGTCCTCTATTGCCTTATATCATAATTGTTTATGCTCATATTTGCGATGCACAGCCAAAAGTATATAATTCTTAATTGCAATTTTCAGTTATTAATTTATAGCGAATGTACAATGTGGAAAGAGAAATATTTTATACCAAACACCAGCTCGTCATGTGGTGGCTCAACTTCACTAAACTACTAGTGCACTAATGGCAGGAAAGATCACTACAAGCATTTGCCTGCTTTCAAAATATTCCAACAGACACAGAAAAAAATAATGCCTGAACTTCTTTGAGCTTATGTAAAAAAAAAGTCACTTGCATTTAGGACAATAACGTTCTGTGTCTGTCTGTCTGACTTGCATTTAGGAAAATTTGACCTAGAGGGCAAAAGAAATCACTATAGTTACAACAAAAGTGGCCATTTAGATAGAACAAAGGTTATTGCTCATTTTAATAAAACAAGATTTTACTGCTTTCACATTCAAAATAATCAAAATATCTTAGCATGAATGTTCAAATCTGTATAACAACTTGCTGTTATCTCATGTGCAATAATATGCTTTTTTAAAGCATTTTATAGGTGTAATCATTTTAAATGCCTGGCATGTCTGCTTTCATCATCACTTTCATTTGGCTAATCCATATGGCTAAAGCACCAATGGCTAAATCCAAATAAATTTGAAGCACACATGGTTTCTCATGAGGTTATTCAAACTTTTTTCAAATTCACAGGAAAACTTGGACAAGGAGTGCCCCCCAAAATAATTCTGCAGAAAATCCAGGCGTCCTCATCCACAAACAGTGACCGGATGAATCTAGTCACAAGAGAGGACCTATGGAACATCAGCGAAAAATTTAAGATTACAAAACAAGAACAGCGACATCCGGATGACTTTATAAGTGTTGATATGTGGATAGCTGAAATGACTGAAAATAATGGGGCAGAGGATGCAAATAATGACCTAGTAGACTTAGATGAAGCCAATCAGAAAGATAGACGCTGTCCTCTTCTTTACTACAAGAAGGTGGGAGACCCAAGGGAGAATGACGGAAACTTTGAGCTTGCTTTAATGACCTTCCCACAGATGCAACTCCTGCGCAAGCTACGCACACAAAAACTCTGCATTGATTCCACACATGGAACAAACATATATAATTCCCAATTAACAACCCTGCTCACCATAGCTGAAGATGGATCTGGAATCCCATGTGCTTACCTCATATCTAAGAGGGTGAATACAGAAACTATGGCAACATTTTTTGAAACCATCCAAAAAAAGGGTGGTGTCATGCAGTACCAGGCATTTATGTCAGATGATGCTCCAGTCTATGGGAATGCATGGGAGCAAGTGATGGGGCCTTTGCCGAAGCGGCTGCCATGTGCCTGGGATATGTTGTGTGATTGGAACGCACACATAAATTCAATTACCTACAAATAGTGCAGAAGCACCGTGACAGACATGTTACATACTCTGATGAAATGCACGGATGTGGCAGAGTTTGAGCAGATGCAGAAGGCATTTCTAAACTTTGGATCAAAAGAGCGAGAAACAGATAGCCTCACTCCCAAAGAGCTGGAACAACTTGAGAAGTTCATGAAATTTTTTTGCAAAGACCTGTACTACAAGAGCACACCAATGGGCTTACTGCTACCGGAGCAATGTTGGCCTGACTACGAACAATCACATAGAGTCTATGCAAAGCTCTGAAATATTCTTACTTTGCTGGCAAGGTAAACCAGCGGCTTGACAGGCTACTACTAGTATTATTTAGCTTCACAGCAGACAAATTATTCAGTAGGGCGATCGCACTTGTGAAAGGCAAAGGAGACCATCGAAAGACTGCGATTTTCAAGAAGCACAAAGCAGGACATGAAATTCTGCCATCAAACATAGTAAAACTTGGAGATGGTCAGTGGAAAGTAGAATCGCAAAGCAAGACTGACTCCCACTACACTGTAGAAAGGACACAAGTGATTTACACTGGCTGTGAGCTCCACTGCAAGCAATGCGAAGCTTGCCATCACATGTACGCATGCACACATCTTGATCATGTAATGCATGCACACCTGTGCAAGCACACTCATGGAGTCGCTTCAGTGGAGGTGCAGTCTTGCAAGCCGCAGCAAAATTCAGCCAGCTGTGTAGCGTTCCCTCAGAGCAGTGTGGGTGAAAGCTGCTCAATGATTAATGACCAGTTGCCTTATGGAGAGTGCTCAGATAATAATACAGGGCACAAAGCAGCATTCGAGCGAACAATTAAGAGCCAAAAAACTCAAGTCATTTAAAGTCCAAGCAGAAGCCACTTTTCAAGGGCTATTGAAAAAGCTCCCTTCAGTTACATCAGAAGAGCTAGAAAGCATGCAAGAAGACCTAGATAAATATGCTGCGAAGCATAAGCTTGCAAATCCAGAACAGCCCTGAGAAAGATGACCTGATCTGGTGCCCGCCAACAAAAACGCTGAAAAGCAGCCGAGACATGTAGCACCAAAATGCAGCAAACGTAAACCTGCACTTGGTCATCCTCCCACAATGCTGCAGCAAGACGCCATCAACCGGCGGCTTCTGTCCCAAGATCAAGAAGAAGAAATGTTAATCATACACACAGGGAACGACCATGATTATTGCAGACCACAAACTCATTAAACAACCTTCATGTTAGCCTGTGGTGAAAATTAAGAAGTACCATCAAATCTTATACTCTCTTATATGAAACGTGGAGGCAACTCTGGGTGATTGATAGATTTATATGTGGGGTTTAAGGTCCCAAAACCACCATATGATCATGAGAGACGCCATACAGGAGGGCTCCAGAAATTTTGACCACCTGGGGTTCTTTAACGTGCACCCAAATCTAAGCACGCGGGCCTACAGTATTTTTGCCCTCATTGAAGATTCAGCAGCCACAGCCAGAATTCGATCCCGCGACCTGCGGGTCAGTAGCAGAGTACCTTAGCAACTAGACCACCGCGGCAGGGCACAACTCTGGAAGAATTTTTGCTTGGGAATCTATTGAGACACAGTGCTTCACATGCGTACCCGTCGATTGCACAGTCCAGTGTTGCAAGAACCTACTTGGCACTGATGCATCTCTGCTTTTACGTATGCCCTTTGAGACTGAGAACCTATGCTGGGTGGTGGAATTCTGCATGAAAAAAATTTTATTTTCAACTGACACTTTTACAAGCAGCAGTTCGGAACAGCAATGGAAGCTTTTGTTTCTGTGCTTTCTGGTCTGTGCAAACATCGCCCTTGAACCATGAAACAAAAAATAAAAGAATAATTGCCTTCCTCAATGTTCTTGTAAGACGGTCAGCCAAAGGGCTTATAACCAGTGTGTATCTAAAGTCGACCCACATGGGTAGATACCTAAGGTTAGACACTCAGTTGCCGCAGCTCTTCTTTCTCGCGCAATGTGCATCTGCTCTGAGCCTGGTCTGCGCAAGCGAAAGCTAGCTGTGGTAAGGAAAGACCTCTGCAACAATGGCTACCCCTCACAGGTCCTGAGGACTCAACAATTGCGGTCTTCAGTTGCTTGCCCTGAAGAGGTTCGTGAAGCTGACAGGCGAAAACGTGCTGCTGTACCCTATGCGCAAGGCGTCAGTGAGGCGCTTGAAAGAGTGTATGGCACATATGGTGTAAAAATCACTTATGTGCCGACCACCAAGCTAAAGCAGAAACTCGCACGTGTGAAAGACCGTCTGCGAAACTCAAGATTTCCAGGGGGTTATCTACAAGATACCATGCAAAGATTGTGACGCATCCTACGTAGGTGAAACTGGAAATTTTAAAAGAAGAATCCAGCAGAACCAGAACCATGTCAAGAAAGGCAATGCAAGCTCGAACATCTCGGCGGATTATCATTTGAACAGTAACCACATCATCGGCTGAGATTCTGCGAGCATAATTGCAACAGAGAAGCGCCTGTCAACACAGCTACTTTTAGAATCATTGCACATTCAAACGACGAAAAATACAATTAACCGGACACAGGGTAATGTCCCAGAGATATATATACGCATTCTGCCCCACCCATTCCATAGTCACGCCCTCTTGCATGCTCTTCATTGTGAACAAGGGACCTGTAGTGTCCTTGAAACGTCAATATGTGTGTGTGTGTGTGTTTTTTTCGGACAAGGCGAGTGCCTCTTATTTTTTCCAAAGAACTTCAGAAACATGTATGTACTTACTATGCAAGGCCCCTTTTCAGTTTTTTTTTTTTATTCTAACGATTTTTTTTTTTGACAATGAAAGTGCAAATGGCTCTCTTGAACAATTTCGTGGCATCCCTCCGCCTCTATAAAAGACCCCTAGCACCCCCAGGCACAGTGCATGAGCTGAGCACATAATTCATCCTTGGATCATTCATGCAAGAAAAAAAAGAACGCGTGTGCGGCCATGTGTCCACTTCTTATTCATGGAATTTGTGCTAGTGAAAAAAAAAGATGTATTTCAAGCATCAGGTTCTCTAATAATTGCAGAGATTTAACATTCCAAAAGCACAATGCAATTATGAAGGACGAAGTAGATAGTAAAGGGCTCCTGAAAATTCAACTAGCTTTAACGTGCAACTAGATCTAGGTACACAGGCCTCAAGCATTTCTGCCTCCATTAAAAATGCAGCCATAACAGTCGAGATTCGATGCTACTACCTTCGGCTTGGCAGACGAGCATTATAACTGCAAGACCACATGCACCAAGTGCTACTGCTACAATGAAGATGCTCTGCCAGTGCTGTCTTGAAACATTTTTCTGTGCGAACGTTACAACTTACAACAAAACACTATGCTTTTATGAATTCCTTGTACAATTCCCAGAGAATATATGGGGTTTTGTGTCCCAAAATCACAATATGAGAGATGCCGTCATGGAGGACTAGGGAAACTTTGATCATCTAGAGTTCATTAACGTGCACTGAGATCCCATATTACACAAGTCTCTACTACTTTGCCTTTACCGAAATGTGACCGCCACAGCCGGAATCGAACTCGTGACCTTCGCATCAGCAGCCGAGTACCTTAGCCACTGATCCACTGTAGCGCACCAATTCCCAAAGAAGACTTCAAATCCATCTACTCCAGGGTCACCCATCTTCACACAGTGCAATGGTTCCAATGTATTTTCAATATTTCTTTCATATTTATTTTCTGTTGTGGCCATGCAAAGTGCATCTACAGGCAACTGTTCTATCTTTAATACATTATACTTGTTTTTTTATTGTTTATAATGAATATGTTTTAATGGTCAATGTTCTAGAGTAATACAGCCGGCCTCAATGAAAGACTATACTTGTGTGGCTTGAGGCATGCTAGGAAAATCTATTGCGTTGTCCATTCTTTCTATTCTTTACTTTTATCATTTATCTGTGCATAATGCAAGTATTTATCAGGCACTTGTTCGTCATCTATACATGATCATCATCACTTGTCGGGACACATCTTGAGATAGTTCTGTGCCTCAAACCTGATTGTTTCACTTCTATGTCACAATATTCTTTTCTGTATGGGTGATGATGAAGTAATCATGCCAGCCTCTAGAAGCATAAGCCAAGGTGAATGTGCACCTAAAAATTCCATTCAAAAAGTCTCAACAAACTAGTAATCAGACGAGTAGACTACATAACCTTAATGACTGGCTGGTGACAGTCACTATAGCAGAGTTGACATTTTTTGAACTTGCAGATAGTGACCCAGTACTTACCTATTAAATATATTAAGATATCAAAGCAGCTCACAAGAGAATGCAATGTATAAAAGAAATGAGGTACACTCACATTTTGTTCACTGCATATTGTCACTGCTTTTTGAAAGGACAACCATGTTAATCTAGCGTGAACAGCTCTAGACTTGCAATGTCCTTTCTATTCAGTTTTACTTGCAAATACCACAATCTGATTATGAGGGATGTTCTAGTGTAGGCCTCCAGATTCACCCAAGAATTTCTAACGTGCAGTGTAACGCAAGAAAAGTGGTAATTTTGGATTTTTATTTTGATTGTACCACGGCTGCCGCTGTGATTTCATTCTGCGGCCTCGACATGAGCATCGAGAAGAAGTGACACTAGAATCCTGTTCACGAATTCATCTTTATTAGACCTCTCAAGAATGACAGCTTGATGGGCGAAAGTTCAAAATCATTTGTGAGTGTTTTCCATGCCCTTTTATTTTGTTGTGCTGTGGAATAAGTCTTGCTGCAAATGTACTTGCACGTAGATACATCTTGTGCGCAAATATCTTGTGCTTGGAATATGTTTATGACGTATGAAATTATTGTATTGTTTTTGTGTGTAAGAAAATGTAACGAATGTGTGACTGCCTCCCCCCCCCCCCCCAAAAAATCTTCACAGATTACTGCAGTGAACGTGCTTGTCCTCTCAATTCTTTTGATTAAAATTCACTTACGAAAAAATCAGTGCATGCACACAATCATTTCTAAGGAAACAGGCCTATTATATAGTTCCATCAAGATGCGCTGCATCATGTGTAAGATGTCATGAATAAATCCATGATGAACTATGAACTGAACATTTCATGAGCAGTTTCGCCATAGTTTTTTTTTAATCTTTCTTTCACTGTGTCTGGCATAGCATAGCCTTAGTTATTTCACACCACAAAACCAAACAAAACCAGCATTGTACAAGAAATATAGAGCAAAACAAAATACAAATGAGCACTCAAGTGGCGGCCAAAATAAAATCATTACATGAAAGGTTACCTGCAAGAATCTGTGCAATATATTTGTTAAATAGCTTTTCAAAGGCAAGATAATGTTGCTATGCTTGGCTTGACAGTAAGGATACAAATTATTTTCAGGTCTGTTTTTACAAGAGCACTAACGCAAGACAAAAATCAGCTTAGATAAATAAATCGTGCTCTAAAAACTTTACTATCATTAATTTCACTGCTATAAGCCCATTAACAGAAGAGAAAATCAAGGAAAGTTTCATTTTTAAATGTTGTGCCAAAATCTCAGCATGTGATGTCATGAATTTCGAAATGTTTTTGTATTTTGGCCAGAATGGTTCATTAAAATTTAGCAAAATTGGGTGTGCTAAATGCCTGGCCCCAACAGAGGACAATGTACTTCATATTTACCAATTGGGAACTACGTAGGCGACATCAAAATATACGACATCACGGCACAGGAACTTGAAAGTGGCATTGCCACCCACACTTTTTGTGTGGATTTTCTAGCGTACCAAGAGTCTTCTTCTGGCAAGCTTGGCAATTTATTTATTGTGACAGAGTAGTTTACTAATGTGAGGAAAATTGTCCCTCACAGTGTCCCTTACACAGGCTCCAGAGAATGTCATCTAGGATTTCCCTTAAGTTTTCACGATAGCAGTTTCGGCTCATTCAAATATGTCTCCGCTTAGCGTATTTTGAGAACTGTTAGTGCTATTAGCATTATTTTTTATTGGATGAACAATCTATATTTGCAAAAATGGCCCTGAGCAATGTTATGGAACAGTTCTAGGAGTACAGGACATATTTCATACATATATTTAAAAAAAAAAGCAGAAGATTGGACAGCATCGCAATGGTCATACATAGCAGGTAGGTTCAGCCTTCACTAGCAACACGCAATTTTTTTGTGCTTTTTATGGCACCATGTTGGCCCCATAGCTCTTATGTATTTTTAAGGCTTTTTAGGACCTACTTTCTCAGTAAGTACTCTATGTAAAGAGTTTGGGTTTGTTTCATTTTATTCCACGGTGTCTTCTTGCAATTAAACTACAATTATGACTGTATTTAAACACTTGACATTTTTTTCATCTTTTAGCAAAACAGGTAGTTTTTCTCATTATCTTTAAAAATAAAATAGCCAGAAAAATTAGAATCATTCCACATATGTGCATCATTATAGTTAAACAGCTTCGTATTCATGCTTCATTTATTCTTGTTAAAAAGCAGCTTTCTGCCTACAAAACTTGTTTTAATAATAGCACATATGTAACAAAAAGTTGATTGAAGGATATCGTAAGTTGAAGCTGGAAAACAAGTTTATTTCATGTATTGCTCGAAACGAAGATGTGCTATACAATTTAATTAATGGAAAAGTCTAATATTGTCTTCACACAAATCACCTTTTCGCTTTTTATGTTCTCTTACTTTATTGGCTCGTTTTGTCATATCTTGTGTGTCTCTGTTGGTCAAATGCTGTCGATCTCGCCCAACCATAGCGCAGCGTTGACCCTTAGTGATATGCCTAACGGCATCGAGAAAGTGCACTCAAGCTATGCATGCCTTTTTAAAAGTTAGAACCACTTCAAAGGTGGCAGTTCTGATGGTTTCCATTCCAAGGAACATTATCCATTGTGTTCTTTACAAGTCCCACAGATCCTTCACATACTGTGCAGACCTAATTTCCCATAATCATGGTTTGTAGAAGATCCACACAAATGTGAGCATTTAAATGTCACTACAAGTAACGTTTTGTCCTTGCAACAACACAGAATGAGGGATGACAAACCTTATTTGCTGAAGTACTTACACCAGTGCTCCCTGTCTCATATCTGTTAGTAGCGGAAGCGTATCGATTTCTGATTATACTGCACTTTATAAACAATTTCATTGATTTAGGAACAAAAGAATACCATTTACTGCCACAACCAATTAAAAGAAAGGTGCCACTAAACTCAAAATAAATGCACAGAACCCTGTCCCCATGTGCGTCTCGCACACACAAAGCAATTGGACTCTGTAAAGGCCACATATGTTAAAAAAGACTCCACCATGTGCTTTTAGGTAGCCAGAATACTTTCATATAAACCTGCTAAGCTCAGATAAACTACTGGTTTCCATTTTCAAATGTTTATGTGAGGCAGAAAGCTCTGGTTGCGCATGATCTGAGATAAGGGGGCTTGGCTACCCGTGACTTGGTCTCGAAAACCTGATCCTTATGGCTGAATCAAACTGCACAAATAATTGGGGCACTGAATATTGTTAGAGAATGTCTTATTCCAAACAAACAAAAAAACAAATTTCAATTTTTAACCATTTTACTCCACCATGTCCTTAAATTATTGATCTATGATACTATAATTACCAAATAAAACTAAGAACTTCACTTATCTTGCATACTATGACATTACTGTATGCACTCTTTTACTCAATAAAGTTGCTGGTTCTAAAGAAAAGCACAGGACTGTTTAGTTTAGGCGGTGCGCCTAGGGCTAACAGCACTGCCATGCTTGGCACTGTTGATGGCGACAACATTCTGAAGATGTACAAGTTCACCTAAAATGCTAAAATAAATATCGGTGGTGGTTTAGGGGCCGTTGTATGATGAGCTACCATTATAAACATGATGATAGTTGTTATACAGGGATTGTTTTAAAAGTAATGTCAGTGATTATGTTGTGAAGTATCTGTCTATACCTCACAACACACAGAACTTGTTCACATACATAACTGCAGTTTTATGTTCCTAAATCATGATATGACTAAGAGAGAAGCCGTAGAGGAGGGCTCAGGAAATTTCGACTATCTCGGGTTCTTTAATGTGCACCGACATCGCACAGTACAGAGACCTCTACCATTTTGCTGCCACCGAAGCGCAACCACTGCGGCCAGGATTGAGCACGCAACCTTTGGGTGAACAGTTAGGCATTATAAGCACTGCTCCACCACAGCAGTCATGGTCACACTGTTGTCTGCTACCATATAGAGAATAAGTACAGACTTTTACTTGAAACGCTTCTTCATTTCCCAAGCAAACCACAATGAAGCACTCATTTGGAGAAAAGATGAGCATCAAAAATAGGTAATCCTTTCAGTGGCAAGAAGGATTGACAAAGCAGTGTAAAACTAGGCAAGTCAACAGTGCGAACATGTCCAGCAATAAAGACAGCGTTTAGTGATAATTGTTAGAGCGTCAAATGCACCAGCAGCACAAGGCCTTTTTAAGAACACAAAAAGCTCAGCGATGAGCCCACGATGGACAGCCCTGAACAACTATCGGAAACAAAAATGTTCTGGCCCGCACCACTCATGTCGTCAGCCGCTTCCCGGTCGATTCAAAGGAGCCAAAGGTTCGTCAGTGTGACCACTGAAGGCTCGCCCACCAGCCGAAACGTATGTGAATAATAAAAGTGTTTCCTCGTTAGTCGTGCTTTTTCGCTTCCGTTTTTACTACGGAGCCAGTGCGCTTCCTTCCTCGCAACGTCTATATATATATATATATATATATATATATATATATATATATATATATATATATATATATATATATATATATTTATGTGCAAATTTTTTGACAGAGGGAAGGCTACAATCAATGAAAAAGAAGCCAGAGTGCTTTATTTACTAATGGCTGTTGGCATGCAAACACGACACAGTGAAAGAACTACACTACACAAACACCACTTGTGACGTCTCATCCTTTTCTACCCCACCCCTTTCTTTTGTGATAAATACCTACCAATTAGCTCAACTTTCTTTCCTTCTAAACAGGGGCATCTGCAGAGCTTAATTGGGGTGGTGCATCCACAAGGGGAGGGGCATCCAGCACTGCAGCTTTTCTTTCACTGCAGACACATGATAGGCAAAATTAGTCGATAATGCGAAATTCAATAGAAATCATGAAGGCCAGGACCTGAGTGCGCTAATAAAGCTGTGTAGTTTAGCTACTTTATAAAAAATATATATCTAAAATTTTAGAAAGGGTGCATGCACCCTTCTCCCTGGAACCTTTTTCCGGACGCCCATGATCCTAAGCAAGAGTGGCCTTGTTGACTGGAGCCTAACACACATAAGCACTAGTTGGGCTGAGCTTTGAGGTTCATTTCACCACCTATGCAAATAATACACTGCTCAACATGTGCACTTACCAGCACAATATACATCCGTATCTCAGATTGCAACAAAAACAGCAACAGGAGAATACACACACCTTAGGTTTGCAAAAATGAGCTGTGGCTGTATTTAGCACACATGACACTGCTGGCACACATCAATAGAGAGACCAATGAAAATGCCTCAACCTAGCTGTTGCCAGTACCTTTGGTTTATTGGCGCTTCTCAACACAAAAAGGCCAAGATGTGTTGCAAGGCCAACATTGAATATCAAAGAATTCTATGGCACGCTGACCAGCATTAGCTCAAACTCAACCCACTCTTTGCACCATTAGTTTTTCAAATTTTTATAACTCTCAGCATAGAAAAGGCCAATCAGTGTTTCAAAGCCAACATTAATTATGAAAGTTTGGGGAACTTTATGGCACGTCGACCAGCATTAGCCCAAAATCAGCCCATTCTTTGCACCATTAGTTTTTCAAAGCTTTATAATTATCAAGATTTTTTTTCACCCCATGCTCTATTAATTCTTACACTGTTAAAGAGAGTGTGATTGTGAAATTATACTACCGACATTCCACATGAATTGTTTACTGCTTGGAAGCATAGCACTCGCTGATTGTACCAACTCAAGTGACATTTTTACTGTATGTTTTAGATTTGCAGTATCGCTCATTGTAAACATTTAATTAAGTGTCTATATAAAGCTTCTCAGTAAACGACCGGTAAACTG